CATCGGTTCTCTCAATGTGTATGCGGAGAGTCTGGTTTTTTCTATAACCTTTCAAAAATGATATTTATTGCATCATTTTTCATCTGATTTTTTTAACAGCCTTCAGCGGAGTTGCTCCCGGATTGGACAATAGGCTCCCCACACTTTCCAATCACAGAGTCGTATTTCGGACTTATTCAGCGTCGTTCCCTGTAGTGGTTGTCGCCACAGTGCTCGAGGACCATGCGCATCACCGCTTGGAAGGTGAGAAACTTGGCCTCCAGCTTGTCGTACTTCAGCTCGTCAAATGCCTCCATGGTGTTGCGGCGACGTCAACCACAGTCCGACTCTTCATCTTGTATTGCAGGCTTTGTATGGACGCCAAAAATCCCAGGTTCAATACATTCAAATCGGGACTATTGGGCGGTTGTTTGTGAATCTTGAACGTCCACCCGTCAGTTGACACGCCTTCGAGCACAACGTCCGTGATGCTTCCATGTGGAGTCGCGTTGTCGTGTTGCAGAACAACTTGCTTCGAAGTACTGGGGAATGAAGCCTTGATGAAAGGTATGACCTTGTTGATGACAAAGTCCCGGTATGCAAAGGCGTCAACATCGACTGAATTGGTGACCATAGTCCCAGCCGGGCGATTGCGCGAGTTGCGAAGTGCCATGACTTGTTGCACGAATGGCCACAATCCAATCTTGCCACTGAATACCACACCCCGTTCGTCATCAATGCGTGGTCGTCCAACAGCACAAAGGAACATGACCTTTGGAATGAAGCACTTGCTTTTCCAAGTGCGCCGAGGTGGCGCTTCACCAGGGACGAGGTACATCATGTGATGGTCTTTGTCCGCGTTGAACGATTTCTCATCAAGATGCACGACGTACCATAGGCCGTCGAATTCAATGGACTCATCGATGTCGGGGAGAACGGCTCTGCCGGAGATTTCCGCGAGCGCAAGCGAGCGGCAAAATGCAACGCGCTCTGCCTTGTTCTCGTCCGTCAGCAGGGTTTTTATCCGAGTTGAACGTCGCTGTTTGGTTTAAGTTTAGCTTTTGCTCCTCTCTTGAGGTGGCGATTCAAGGTGGCAGGCGAGAGACCGGTGGCGCCGGCAAGCTCCCTGAAAGTTGAGCGCAGTTCGACTGGGGCTGCTTGAACGAGTTCACGGACGTACTGGGCCGTGTAGGTTGGTTTGGGTCCAACGCTTCCACGCTTTTTGTTGGACGTGGTGCCGCGGTCGCAAAATTTGCGTCAGATATA